CGCCCCGCCTCCGCGGCGCCCGCCTGGCTCTTCCAGAGGCCGACCTGTGGGGGACAGGGCAGCAGGGCGGCGGGAGCGGTGAGCGCCGGATGCCCCACGCCAACGCCCGCCACGCCCGCGGCCCCCATGCCCGCGGCCCCGGAAGCACGTTAGCAAAGCAACGGTGCAGTTTACTGCGCGCACTGCCTGCCGGTGCCAGGCGCGTCTGAACTCGTTTAACGCTCGCAATAACTCTAAGGAGGCAGGCGCTCTAATTATCCCCCTTTTTTAATGGATGAGGGCAACTGAGGCACAAAGCCCATATTCTGTTCTTTGCACAGTATCAATGGTTCCCAAACCTCACATCTCTTCTCTGCTTGCCTCCTGCCTTCCTAGCATTCAACCCTCCGCGGCTCCTCTACCCTCTAGACTGGAGGAACAATCTAAGGGCCTCGGATTAGCGTTTCTGGCCCTCCCCAGTGTCTACTCACTAGACTGTCCTTGACGATGACGGTTCTGCCTGTCTTGTCTACTGCTGTGTCCCTGGTGCCTAAAACAGGACTGGCATACAGTAAGTGCTCAGTAAATACCTGGAGCATGAATGGAACTGGACGATCTTACTCCACATCCTGGGAGTACTTCCCCGCCCCACCGTCTGCTTATCCCGTGTCCCTTGGCTGCCTGCCCTTGCCGGTCCACAGCCATGGGCACTGAAAGCGGCACTTGCCACTCTGCACCCCGCAGCCTTCTCTCCGCTGCACAGGGCTGGTGACTGGCCAGTGTGGGAGTGAGGCTAAAACAAGGTCAGCTGCCTCCTTGCCCATCGTCTCTTAGGGCAGAGGCTGTTCTTGTCCTCATTTGACCCCTTGCTCCCTGAATCACCTTTGGTACACGCCTGGGCACCACGCTGAAGTGTTTGTTGACTGGATCCCAGATGCTGGGCTGGGTCATATCTCACTCAGTGCTTCCTTCTCCATGTCCCAGAGTAGGCCAGGCCCCTGCAGGCACTCGGTGTCCAGTGACTACCTGACCGACAGTGACACCATCTATTTAGCACCTGGACACCAGGCCTGGCCCTGAGGGAGGCTCACCAGTATTGAACGATTGCACAGAGCTGCCCATCTACCCCATTAGGCAGGGAGCTCCTTAAGGGTGGGGACAGGGCGTTCTTCCCACCTTATCTCTCAAACCTCCCAGAAGCCTGCCACCACAGAGAGCCCAAGATGTTCGCTGAATGACTGAATGTGAGACTGCCCAGGTTTCCTGGGAGGGTTCAACTGCTGGGATAGAGGGAGCAAGACAAGGCGGGGGACAGGGATGGTGTGGGATGGTTACCTGGGTGGGACTGGGGTTTGGGGGGTGGGACGGATGATGAGAATAGGAGCGGGGTCTGGAGTGTAATGGGGTGCGATAGAGACTGGATGCAAGCAGGCCGAACCACTTCCCGCAGCAAGTGGGCCTGCCCTCTCTCCCCCCTTCCTCTTCCTCTGCCCGGCTCGGGCTCTGTAGCCAGCCCTGCAGCCAGCCGGCTGCTCAGACGACCCCCCTCATCCCGTCACTACAGACCCCCCACCCCCACCCCCACCCCCACCCCGCTCTGCGCTGGCGCGCACCTGCAGCGCGAGGCAGCGCGCGTCACTGCTCTGCAGCGCGGCGCGCAGATCCTCCACCAGCTCCCGTAGGCTGCTGTTCTCCTCCTCCAAGCGCGCCAAGCGCTCGCTGTCTGGGCCGCCGTCGGGGCCGGCCGTGCGGGGCGTGCGGGGCGTGCGGCGGCGCGGGCGGCGCAGGCGGATCTGCGTCTCGATGTGCTCGCTGAGAGCGCCGCGGGGCAGCCGGGGCCCCGCGCGGGTGCCGAAGTAGCCGCAGAGGCGCGCGTGGAACTGGCGGAAGGTTAGCTCGGGCGGCTCAGAACTCAGGGCCAGGCGCGCCTCCTCCTCGTCATCTGCGTCCTGGTCGGTGGCCACCCCAGGGGCCGTGTCCCCGGCGGTCACATTCCCGGAGCTCGCGTCTCTGGCGGCCGCATTCCTGGTGGCCTCCCCGGCGGCGGCGGCGGCGGCCCCCTCGGCGCGCAGCCCCAGCACCGCGCAGAGCGCGCGGAAGTCGGCGCGGGGCAGGCGGCCGGCGCCACGGCAGTCCAGATGGTGGAAGACCTCTTGCAGGTACTGGTCCAGGCCCGTGGCCAGCACCACGATCTCATTCTCCACGCCACGGTCCAGCCCGTAGTGGTGAGCCAGGGCGCTCAGCAGCCACTGCGTGCGCCGCGCGGGTGGCCGGTACGGGTCACCCGCCGCGCCCTCCATGCCGGCCTCTGCGCCCAGGCCGCTCGGCTCCATCGCTGCCGCGCGTCGCTCCTTCGGTCCCTCCGCCCCGCCACTTCCAGGGGCGGCCCCAGAGTTGCTCGAAAGGAGGGGCTTAGCGGTCGCGGTCTCGTTGTAGCGTCGCCGAGGACCGTGTCCAGCAGCTGCGCTGGCCTGGCAGGGCGTCTGTTCACCCGGGTTGGTTTGGAGGGGGCTGGGTAGGGGGCTCAGAAGCCCCGGAGATCCCCCCGCAGGGCCGCCGCTGCCGGGTCTTCCTCCAGGTCTCGCTTCTCCGGGTGAACCTCGCGCCCTTCTCGTCACTCCCGGGGCGTTCCTGGCGTCTCCCTTTTCCTCCCACTCCCGGCTCTGTCCGCCTTCAGGTCCCCACCCTCCGCCCCACCCGCCTTGCGCGGAGAGTTTGCCCTGAGACGGGGCGAGGGTGGGCACAGGATGGGAAGCTGGGGAGGGACCGGAGAGTGGCAGCTTCGTCCGGTTGCTGGGGACGTGTCCCCTACGCCCACGCGTCACTCCACCCCGTCCCCAGACAGCCTTTTGAGGGCGTCCCCGCGAGCTTGCACCCGCCGTCCTTTACCCCGTAGGTGCGAATTCCCCCTTCCCTTAAATTCAGCTACTGGATTGCCCAACCCACATCTCGCTCCACGATAGATGGTCCAAGAGCCTCACGTGATAACTAGAGCAGAGGAGAAACAGGCTGAGAGAAGTGAAGGGGCTGCGTTAGGGACATTCCGCTGGTGAGAATCCGATCTCAGGTGGACCCTGGCTCTCTAGGCTCTGTGTGTGTTGGGGAGAGGGCGGGGATAGCGAAGTCGTGGTCTTTCCGTCCCCACCTTTGTGCCTGGGGATGGTGAGTTGGCGATGCCACCTGAATTCCATCTCTGAGCTGGAGTTAGACTAAACAGGTTGCTGTTTGGCCAACATTTTCTCTGGTGCCTTAGAACACATTTCTGGAAGGTGAAAGAAAAACCAGCTTCTCAGGTGAGTGCTAGGCTGTTTTTCCTTTCTTTTTCACAAGAGAGGTGTAGAGATGTCGTGCACCTGTTACCTGCACTGGGAACGGTTATCCAGCCACGTGGGAGCAAGAGGCGGACTTGCTTCCACTGTCTTCGGCTATAAGATGGGCGAGTCTGGCCTTCTTATAACTCTAGGAATTTAAATGTTAAATCTTGGAATTTGAAAAAGCACTAAAACCCTGTCTTCTCTGCTGCAGTATCCCAGAATCAGTACTTTGTCCATTTGGCAAATTCCTACTCATTCTTGAAGACTTTGTCCAAGGTACACCTCTGCCAAGAAGGAGTTAGATGCTCCTCCCCAACCATTTTGGACATACATTTTATTAAAATTGTAAGAGTAATAGCAATTTGACAAAAAGTTTTACATGAATTCCACTTCTTGGCTTCTACCTTAGAAAAACACACGTGCACAGGATGCTCATTGCATCATTGTTTATAACAGTGAGAAACTGGAGATAACCTGGCGCCTGTCAGTACATCAGCCAGGATGAATCACCAAAAAAGGATGAGTGAGGAAAAACAAGTTGCAGCATATTATGTGCAATGTTCGTACTTACATAACGATAACAACAAAACCCCACAAAACAGTATGAAATATTTTCTATGAGGACGTGTATGTAAGTGCATAGGAAAAGATGGGAGGAGTCACAGACTGATTCCATGGTTATTCCTGGGGATCCGACATGTTCGGCTTTCACTGGAACATTTCCCTTTTCTGCAAGGCGATGTTTTTAGTTGTTTCTTCTCTTTCTTTTCTTTTTTTTAGGAGAGGACATGCTTTATTTGCATTTACAAACCACAAAGTTCACCCATTTAAGGTGTATAAACAAATGGGTTTATTGTATTTATAGAGTATTTAACTATCACCACAGTCTAATGTTAGAACATTTTCATCACCCACCCCCCCAAAAAACCTTGTGCTAGTTAGCCCACCCTCCTCCCCCGTTCCACCTTCTGCTCCCAACCCCCACCCCTAGGCAACCACTACTTTCTTTTTCTATGGATTTGTCTATTCTGGACATCTCATATAAATGGGATCATACAATGTATGGTGTTTTGTGACTGGCTCCTTTTTGAAAAGATTAACAATGTTTTCAAGGTTCATGCATGCTGTAGAATGTATCAGTACTTCATTCCTTTTTATGGCTGAATAATATTCCATTGCATGGAGAGACCACATTTTGTGTATCCATTCATCAGTTGATGGACATTTGGGTTGTTTCTACTTTTTGGCTTTGTTTTGTGTGTTCACATGCATTCATTTCTCTTGGATATATACCTGGGAGTGGGATTGCTGCTTGTACAGTCATTCTGTTTAACTTTTTGAGGAACTGCTGTTTTCCAAAGTGGCTGTACCATTTTCATTCCTACCAGCCATGTGTTTCTTGATGCATAAAGTAATACAGATGTTCTCGGTCTAGGACTCCTGCTCACCCACCGGCTGCCTCCATCTCAGCTCACGGTGCCTCCAGCCTTCCTCAGCAAATCCCTGCCAGCTTGGACTCTTCTCTCATTTTCACCCCCCACCTCCAGGCTGTCAGGCTGCCCAGCGCTCTGCCTTCGGAACGTATCCTGAGTCTGACTCTTTCTCCCTGCTCCACTGTTACCTCCCTGGGCCAGGCCCCCAGCATCTCTCACCTGTATTATTGCAATAGGCTTCTCCCAAGAACTGCCCCTGAACTCCTATGTCTGTTCTCCACAGCCAGAGGATCCCCTCCTGTGCAGAGGACCCCCTAATTGTTTTTCTCTCACAGGGACTAGAGCTCCACGGCCTGGCACAGGCGGCACCGCACTCCCCAGTAACCTCTCAGTTACCGCCACCGCCTCCCTCCCCAACCTCCTTGCTGTTCTTCTGACTCACCTCAGGGTCTTTGCATCTGCTTCCCCCAGATGTTTACAGCCCACCCTCTCACCTCCGAGTCCTTTGCTCCAACATCACCTCCTCAGTGAGGTCTTTGGTGACATCACCAGGACTCTGAACCTCTAACAGATTCTATCTTGCCTGTGTGTATTGTCTGTCTCCCTGTAGTAAGCTGTCAGCTATGAGGGTAGGGATATTTGTCTGCTTGTTCACCTAGAATGGCATCTGGCACACTGAAAGAAGATCTCCAGCTCCCATCTCAGCCACCTTCCCACGGTCACCATGGGAATGGTGTGCTGTGTTGCCTTCCACATGCTTTCTTTGCCTACAGATGATATGTTTTTGTTTTTGTTTTTTTTGGTGAGGAAGATTAGCCCTGAGCTAACATCTGTTGCCAATCCTCCTCTTTTTTGCTGGGGAAGATTGGCCCTGGGCTAATATCCATGCCCATCTTCCTCTAGTTTGTATGTGGGACACCTGCCACAGCATGGCTTGATAAGTGATGCGTAAGTTGGCGCCCGGGATCTGAACCTGCAAACGCCAGGCTGCCAAAGTGGAGCACGTGAACTTAACTGCTATGCCACTAGCCTGGCCCCCGTGTACTTTTTTAATTTGTATTTTTTAAAAGCAGCCAATAGGGCTGGCCTAGTGGCGCAGTGGTTAAGTGCGTGCGCTCTGCTTCAGCGGCCCGGGGTTCGCAGGTTTGGATCCTGGGCATGCCGACGCACCGCTTGTCAAGCCATGCTGTGGCGGCGTCCCATATAAAGTAGAGGAAGATGGGCATGGATGTTAGCCCAAGGCCAATCTTCCTCAGGAAAAAAGAGAGGGATTGGCATTGGACGTTAGCTCAGGGCTGATCTTCCTCACAAAAAAAATTTAAAAAATAAAATAAAAGCAGCCATTGCACCACACTGCCATTTATTTGGGGGCCTCCCATGAGGTCCGAGCTTCACAAAGCCAGGGACCTGGTGCCCCCTAGAGCACAGCACGGGGCCTGGCATAAAGGAGGCACTAATAATCTTGGTTTGGATGAACACACATGTAGAAATGAACTCACTGCATTGAAAGGGAAACCCCCCCTAGTTGGCATCGGTGGGATTCTGGCATCCTTTCGCCCAGCGATGTTGGAGTCAGCGAGACTCCAAATGTTGATAGTTGGTTGGATCCACAGCTGGACCATAAGAGCTTCTGGGCCCAGAGCCCCAACGCCTTGGGGTTTGCTGTGTGCATTTAGAACAGGACTCTGGGAGTGGGCTCTGGACTAAGAATTGGATTTGATTTCACGTTAATGCTGAGAGCTGGCAGCCCAGGTAAGCCTGCAGCGCTCACCCTACCCCGCCGCTGCAGGTGCGACTGCTTCTGGGGAAGGGATCCTTTGAACAGCAACTTTCCTGGGCCAGTCAGTATTGAAAAGAAAGTCTTTAAATATCTTGCCATGCAGCCATTGCCCAGCCTTGACCCCCTGCAGCTCAGCGGGGGCCGGGCAAGTCAGAGTTTATAATGGTGCGCTGTCAGGCCTGTCTGTCTGTGGGGCAGTGTTACCAGGCGCCTCTGAAACCATTCCAGTTGGGCCCACAAGGTTTTTGTATAAGGTTCGAAGTGAGCAAACTGAGAGGTCCCCTGTGCTCTTTCATCTGAGCTGGGGGTGGGGGTGGGTCTACGTGGGGAGAGCAAAGGCCCCGGCAAAGAAATGATTTTCTGAAGTCAGTTCAGTCTTTTTTGAGCCATTTCAAATAGTATATTGTTCAAAGTGTCTTTACATAGCCCAGAAAAATGCTAAAAAGCAAAAATAATCCACCATTGTGTCATCAAACGGGGACCACAGGGTACTTCTGATGTATTTCTTTCCAGAGCTTTTCCATGCACTTGAGCATGAAAGAACGTTGAGGGGTAATGGAAATATTCTGTCTTCATTGGGGTGGTGGTTACATGACTGTATACATCTGCCAAAATACTTAAAAAGGGTGAATTTTATAGGACGCGAATTGTACCTCATTAAACCTGACAAAGAAACACAGTTGAAATGCTGCTGTCTGGATCTTTCTTTGCACATCCACCATGCTTCCTAAACAGCTGCGCCATCATTAACACTGCTTTGCAGACGTTCTTGCGGGCTGCTCCATTCTCCCTCTTATGACCGGACTGCGAGGTGCTTCATCACCCCCCACAGATGCACATGGAGGTGGTTTGCAGTTTTTCTCCAACACTGTTGGTTCTGTATCCTGAGTGATTTATTGCTTGGTTAAGGGGTATGAACATTTTATAAGCTCTTGATTTTGTCAAACTGTTTTTCAGAAAGTTTGTGTCATTCTGTGCAGTCCTCGGGAGTGTCTGGGAATGTTCTCAGGCCATCATTTTTAGTGTCAAAGCTTTTTTATATTGTTAGGAGTCTTAGTGGATCTGCTTAGTGTTCAGACGCCAAGTTTTACTTCTCTCTGTTAAAAATGGGCCTGAGTTAGGCCAAGATTTCT